CTTATCTGAACTTATGTCATATCTGTGAAAGAAATATAATACCTTCTTCAGACAGATGTGGTTGTAAGGACTAGAATGTGGTCACATCTGTAGTTCTCAAAAATTCGAGCACAAACACAGTGCTCAGTTACTGTGTTACTCTTGTCATGGAGAGGTTGTCAGCAGTGTGATGGAAGGAACCCCAGCTCTACTCCGTACCAATCGTGACGCTTTGGGCAAGGCAAGTGATTTTCTTGCCTCAGTTTACACGTTTGAATGGGGACATTTTTGCAAGGTTGTTGAAAGGTCAGAGTTAATAAGTGTAAAGTACCAGACCAGTACCTGGCATATAATATTGTAAGCACTACTTAATAATTTGCTATTGTTGTCATTAATTACTACAATAAAGTAACAATCACCATATTAACACTAATGAGGTTTTTGAAGATGTGAGATTTAAGAAGAATCCTAGATATTGGTTGGTTAAGGGGTTATGAGATTCCAAGCAATGCACATATAATTGGAATTGCTCACAGTGGTTGACCATTTAAAAGCTATTTGCTCATGTGTAAATTAAAGGGAAAAACTGTTGCTTCTCAATGACAGCAAGTATAAACAACTCTAACAGTAACTTCTGTTATGTCATATTTCAGCACGCAGTTAATATTTTGATACATCCCTCTGTATCCACAGCACTGCCTTGGCTGGGATAGAGATGGGGGGTGAAAGAGGGGGTCCTGAGATGGCTATTTCCTAGCCTTCTGTGGGAGTCCAGCGCAGCAGATGGTTCTTTAATCGTCCATCCATTTGCCTCTCTCATCCCTCTCTTTGTGAATACCTACTGCGTGGATGCCTTAGTAATTCACTGTCTCTTCTACATACCAATTCAAGTTGCTGTTGTTCTCTGAAATAGGATCTATGGTCATTCTATGACATCTAATAGGAGATGGAAAAGAATAGTGTGTTTTGAAAGGCATTTGCTGTGTTCCTTCATTAATTTTGTGTAGCTCTCTAATCCTGTAAAAAAGATTCTAACCCGATACATAGTTAAGCATATACCATTGGAATTAAGTTAAATTTCCATTAACAAGTGGCATTAATATGGCTTTTAGATGGGGGTCAGGTAAAGAGAGAAAGACAAACTAAGTAAACAGCCCTTCTATTTAATCCTTTGGAGACACTGGTTACTATAAATGACTAGGTATGGCTGTAATTCATAAAGCCATTGGATTTGCTAGTACCTCTTCCTTGAGTTGTGAGGTTCAAAGGGGCTTTGAAAGGTCATTTAGCTCTTTGCACCAACCTTGACCCCCCCCCAAAAAATGTATACATAAATAACTGCAGACTGTTGTAAAGTCACACTGTCTTTTAGAGACTTTCTGAAAGGAGATTTCACAATCTCCCTCAGAAATACAGTGCGGTTTTTTAACAAACCTCATTGTAGAAAAGGTCATTTTAATATCTAACCAGAGTCCCGATTGCTATAATAAAAGGCCACGTCCTCTTTTTCAGTCCTTGTTAGAGATGGCAGAAGAGTTGGTTACTAGCTTCATCGTAAATGAAGGGTTATTGGGCATCATGGTGGGCCTGTTCTTTTCTTATAACAACTGTTTCTTCATTAAAGATCGCCACAAGTCGCTTTACAGCTCTTTTCTCAGGCTAGAATAAACCCATAAACATTTCCTTGCCAGGGTCCTAGTTCCCAACTCTCTATTGAATATATTCTGCAGTACTTTCTGAACAATTTGGGATACAAGATTTCTCAGTCCATTCTCAGGGTTTTTGTTTGCTCGTTGTTTTTTTCTCTCACTATAGATTGAACACAACAATTTATTCTGCCACAGGTTGGGTCCTTCCAGGCTTCACCTGAGGCTTTTGTGACTCTTGAATAGAGGGAAATAGGGATGAAAACACTGGAAAAACATCAATAAGACATTAATATGTAAAGCTTTGTCTATGAAACAGAAAATCAGAGAAAAGTATCCTGTGCCCCCATAAAAGCAGAACAGCCTGGCCAGTCATGGGGTATGAAAGCCTTAGTTCAAGATCACTTTGAGCAAAGCAACCAGCACCACATGTGTATGTGAGCGAGCAGACAGACATAAACATATATGTGTGTAAATGTGAAAGAAAATAGATGACAGTGTTTATACGCACACAGAAATCCTTATAGGGAAAACCACTCCACTTTCCTGGGAGGACAGATTAGACAGTGGTGTAGAGGGGAAATAAGGAAAATAAAAGAGTGAGGTTAAGTAAAACAGGTAGAGAGAGAAAAGAAGAGCAAAAAGTGAAGAGAAAGAAGAAAGAAGCGCTGTGACCCAGCTTCAGAAGAATTTGAGTTGTGGGTAAGGATGGTTCAATCTCTTCAGATATACACATGCGGCTTTGAATACTTGTGTCTACCTCTGTAGCTATACCTGGATACCAGAATTTACCACTGTTAGACAAGGAACAGCTGAGAATGTGGACCTTGTGTTAATTCAGCTGTCCATCCTCATTTCCATGGTATGGTTGGCTATCAACAAGTGTTGAATAAATGAAAATATTAGATCCTGAACTTTCTAATTCCCAGGACAGATTGTTCTTGTAAAATAAATACCGCTCTGTTTATCTTTTTTGTAGAAGTCCACTGACTTCTGGCTTTCAGGTCAGACTGTTCCACTAAATGCTGGGGTGAACCTTATAAGGATGCAGGACTCACCATCTCCAATGTCCCTCTACTCAATTTTTTTAAATTCTGTATTTCATTTCCTAAGTCAAATAGGTTCTGCAAACATTCCTGGGAAAGGTAACACAATGATCCATACCACACACTTAAACCTCAGTCTGAAGGCACATGTAGGGTTCTTTTCTAAACACAGGACTAATAACTGGAGGGAGAAGGAAAATTCTGGTTGCCTTGTTACCTGGGGTTGGAAAAAAAAGAAAAGATGAAAATTCAGAGGAGCAAAGAACTTGTTCCTGCTACTCAGTTTTGTCTCAGGATGTTCGTGTCCAGTGAGGTCCATTTTCAGCAGAAGTATTTGCCCCGACCATCCTCCTGGCTGCTGGCCCTTCCTATTTTAGTACCTGGGAAGCTAAAGATATCTTTGTCTGTACTTTGCAAACTCAGCCAAAGAGCAGCTGCATTCAGTACACTGCCAGGCTGTTTTATGTAGGTGCTCAGTTGCTGAGCAGGTGTGTTCTCCCCAGATACGCCTTTTAAGATGATAGTGTCATCAGTCATTGGTACCCAAGGAACTGGAGGGAAGGGGGAGAAAAGGCTCATTGGTTTCAATTCAAAGTTCTCTCATTTCTTCTGGTAGGCTGGCTTTCTGTATCTGTCGTGTTCTGTGTCCTCTCTCTCTTCCGAGCATAATTTATTATTCCCTCAAAAGAACTTAACTGAGTAGAGGGAGGGCGAGAGCATTAGTGGGATGGTTGCTGGCCCTTTCTTTCCCCCGCATGTGACATAGCAGACATTGGAATTTATGTTGTTATCGACCACTGTGCCTGTGGTTCTGGGTAGTCAGAGAAGATGACCACAGATACCTCCATCCCTAACTCTCTCTCATCTGGGTCATTTTGAAGTTGGAGCTAACACCTAAATCACACCCTGTTTCTCAATACCTCCTAGGCCGTCATGGGTATTGAAAGTGTCCAATAACCCTCTGTTCTTTGGGGTGATCGTGTTCTCCCTTGCAAATTATTTTTCTGTTTTTATGCCTTATTACTGAATTGGTTCTGCTTGATTTCCTTGTTCACTCTTTAATTTGGTAGCACCTCATTTTACAGTCCACTAACATTGTTGAAAATAAATTCACTTTTGCTTCTGTGGTTCGTATTACTCATTTGATAACGTAAGTACCAAATGAGGGCGCAGTGACACTGTAAGTGCTGCGCAGTTGCAAAGTAAATATTCAACAGGTTTCGTTCATCCTCCAAGCCCAACACAGGGTGACTATCACTTTCAGACCTACTAAGTGCACTGACCACATAATCTGCAGGGAGATTAATTGTGTAGTTAGCATTTGCCACCTTCCATTTCCACACACTTTCCAAGATTATACCTCCTTTAGTGTTATGGTGTCCCAGATAAATCTCATGCTGAATTGTAGTAGCCAGGATGCATCTCTTAGGAATGAACCATGCCCAATGTGCATTGAGCCAAAGAGTTGAAAATCGGCTACAACCTATCTTGGGGGATGGGGAGACACCCACAGTCTAAATTCAAACTAATGCTTTTATTTTTGCTTTGCCCATGCATTCAATAGGATGGAGTAGGAGAGGTATGGGAGAAACAGCATGTGCCCTCTTAGAGACCAATGCTCTTCCACAAAAAAGTATTCAAGTCCAACATCTAATTGGTGCTAGAAGACATTTACCATGGACATAAGAGCACCTAGGACCAAGACCTTTTCATATCTCACAACAGAAAGTCTCTCATGATTGTATATACCCAAATTGATGTTGTCAATGTTCTCTTAAACTTAATGATGTGTGCCAAAGCTAAAAGTCATAATTGTGAACTTCTGGTCTACTCTCTTGACTCATAGACCACATGTTACCTTCTCACCCTAGACCACTCTCTATGAATGCATGTGCCCAGGTCATATATAAGTAGAACAGTTCGCCCATATTTTGTCATTGTATGTGGATCTTATGTTTTCCCTCTAATAAAAATATTAAAAAATACTTTTCAGGTAAATATGACTTCCTAAAACAAGTAAATTAAGAAGTTGCCTGTTTTTACTTGAAAATATTATATTATTTGCAAAATTGTCTTCAAGATTCTATTACGTGGTAAGCTACTGTAACACAGTTAAGATATTTTACTAGCATCCCTTTGATTTATACAAGGTGTTTTAGAAATGTGATTATTGTGTGAAAGAGAGTATAACTTGTGGCTAGCTGCATATATCATTTTCTCTGAGTAGTAGTAGCTCCAAAAACCCAATAGCATTGCATTTTGTATCCGGGGGTAGCTCTTTGGCTCTGTGCCCATGCTGGCCACTTAGGATTTCTCTTGTGTCTTTCAGGCATCGAGAATGCCAGCGACATTGCTTTGTACTCGGGCTTGGGCGCTGCAGTCGTGGCCGTGGCAGTCCTTGTCATTGGCGTCACCCTTTATAGACGGAGCCAAAGTGACTATGGCGTGGATGTCATCGACTCTTCTGCATTGACAGGTGGCTTCCAGACCTTCAACTTCAAAACAGTCCGTCAAGGTCAGCGGCGTAGGTCCCCCCAACATCACATCCTCAGGACCAAAGACTACGCTCACACAGGACCCTGTGCTCTTTGGCCCTGTGTGAACATAGCCCTTGGCACTGGGAGCCGCTGCCAAATTGTCTTTACACTTTAGGAAACCTGGCTAGATGGATGGAGTAGTCTGCTTAAGTGCTTGGCTACTGTGAAGACAAATGGCTCTCAATTTACCATTAGCAGCATTTTAAATGAGGCATTTCCATCTTTGATATGTAGTGAGCTTCATAAGTTATTTTTTTGAAGATTATCCAGCTTTCTATTTTAACAAGCCTGCTTTGAGGATGTATAATTAATTTAGTTAACTGAAATACTGAGTATTCAAGGCTGAGGACCAATTACTATGCCATAACCTCCCAGACATATATATTACACTATTTAGTAGGTGGGGTTATTTTTGTACTTCTGTTTTAAATAAGTAAAAGGACTTTGGATATATGATAGATCAGTTAGCCAGAGAAAAAATGAAATTCCCAGTTTAAATGACTCTCAGCTGTTGCCCAGTCAGGCAATCTTTGGTTGTGGGGGAAGGAAAATCTATCATGTCAAACTACAGCAATACTCATTTTCCAAACAGAGAATCATTTAATTCTCTTATACGAACCAAATCTATTTCTGATTGCAAGATAGTAATAAGACAGACACAGCTTTTATTTTAGAAAAAAAAAAGAAGCTCTTTTCAGTGGATGACAATTTTTTATTTTGACTCTCATTGTCAGTACTGTCCACCTTTATTTCTGTTTATTGCATGTCAATATCACTTGTACCACAGGACAAGAAGAAGCCTCACTGCTTGGCAGTGATTTAGTAGAGACCAGGTTCTGAAGTAGAAACCCAAGAGTACTAGAAATTGGGAGATGGTGGGAGAAACAACATGCTTTACGGCTCACCACTCACTTCTAGGCACCAAAGTTTCAGGTCTGAGTCTGAGTCTGCTCAGCCTCAAATAGGGTTTGGTACACATGATTTAATTAAAAATAAATCCAATTAAGAACTGATCTTTATGCTACATAAGAAACTAGAAGTAGAGGCTTCCGGTTACGATGGCAGAGTAGGCAATCACTGTGCTCACCTCCTCCCATGACCACATCAGAATTACAAATAGCTAGCTGAATGGAGTTCTTATAACCAAGGATATAAAGAAGCCAAGCCAGGTAGGAGGGGCAGAGAAGCGGAGTGGACAGGTCCCACATCCACAGTGTGTTGGTTAAGAAACTGGAAGGATATCTCAGCTGTGAGGTCCCCTGTGTTGCCAGTGGTCCCAGCCCCACATACACCAGGCTGTCCAGCCCAGGCCTCCAGTGCCCAGAAGAGAAGTTCCCAGAACATCTGGCTGTGAAAACAAGTGGGGGTTGTATTAAAGTGGGATGGAGGGCTGCTACAGACCTAGTAGCTGCAGGTGTTAAAGGGACCACAGACAGACTCAAGGGCTCATAAACTCATTCACTGGTTCTGAGCTCTACCTCCGGGGTAGTAGCTCAAAAAGCACCAGGGACAGACAAAGAGGAACTGAAAACTGACTAACTTCAGGGCAAGGGCTGGAGGGGCAGGGGTCAAGGTAACTATCTCTCTGGGGAGAATTGCTGGCAAAGGCCGTTGTTCCTTTGTTTAGCCCTTACCTCTCCCAACCTTCAGGCATAAACCTGAGCCAAAAATGAGTTCTCCATTAACTAACACCTTTCCCATTGCACTGTGATTCCCTGAGAT